CGGGCGTGGAGGCGACGAGGACCCCGGTTGTCAAAGCCCCCATTGTTTCCTTCTCGGGAACAAAGAGGTTGCAAATAATAATAATAATAAATAAAAGGGGAAGAGACACTCGTCTCCAAAGCAGAACCTGGAAGGTTGCGATATTCACGTGTCCGGTCCGGGGAGCGGCCGAGGCGACCAGCTCCTGCTTGGAATAGATGTCCAAGAGCAGAGATATCAGTCTGCCTGAAGACCTTTACCTCCTCAGACATGAGGGTTACAATTAGAGATGGAGGTATTTGTATTCCTACATGAATATCCCGGTGCAGCTGGAGTTAACGAGGGGCTGGCCCCTGGGCATGGACTGTCCACTCACATGCCCGGTGGCGGCCCATCTCTTCCTTTCAATCGTTCTGGAGCACCGCTGGGCTAGCCACTTGGCAGTCTTTCAAGGAGACTCATCCTCCCTCCCTTTGCCAGGAGCGGCTAGATGACTGGGAAGAGAACTGTGCTCGGGACTGATTGGAAGGATGAGCGGGTGCAGGCGAGGGGACCACGCCACCCCCCGAGCATCCCTCGCTCCCTCCCTCCGGCCGAGGACGCGCGTGGCCGGAGGGGCCGGGGAAAGGCGCGCATCCCCCCGTCCCCGGGCTCCCTCCGGGTCTCGCCTTACCCGCACGAGGAGGGCGCGCACCAGCCGCTGCCCGGCGATCCTGGACCGATCCACGGGGTTTCGGAGGGCTCCGGATGCGAGAGGAGCGAGCCGGCCCGCGGGCGAAGGAGAAGCAGCTGCTGGAGAGGAGGAAGGAAGGAAGGAGGGAGGGGTTGCTTGGTCGGTTGGTTGGCTGGAAAGCAAGCCAGGCTGAGAATCGAGTCCCCACCCAGGCTTGTGTGTGTGTGTGGGTGATGGTGGTGTGTAGATGTGTGTGTGCGTGTGTGTGTGTGTCTGCCTGGCTGGGTTGTCACTGACAGCCTCTGGGCTTGGCCAGCCCTGGCAGGGGAAAGGAGGGGTTTCTCTCCTGCCTTTCTTCCTCTTCTTCTTCTTCCTCCTCCTCCTCCAGCCTCTAAAACCAGGGTGGACCAAGGGACAGTTTTGGGACCCCAGGCCCCTTGCAGAGGTCCCCCCCCAGCCGCCCAACACACCCACCCACCCCCACAAAGGGGATGGCATGCTTTGGAAGCAGTAAGTCCCCCCCTTTAAAAAAAAACAGGCCCCCTTCAGCTTTTAGCCTTCCTCTACTTCTGGCTTTTTTTCTCCACTTTCCTTTTATTCCGGGGCACCCTTTGGTGCAGCCCCCCCAAAAAAAGGGATGTGCGGAAAGAAAGGTTCCTGCCAGAGACCCCAAAGGGGCCAGCTGTGGCTCCACAGCCTGGGGTCTCCATTTTTCACCAGGAGGGTGGCATCCAGTCTTCTATGGGGCTAAATGCAATTCCAGTCCCTGATGGAACAGACCCATGGAAATCAATGGAGCTTGCAGGACAGTTGGCTAGCCAAAGTTTCTGGCCTTACATGAGATCTCCACCAAGTGGGAACCAAATTAGATTTGGCTCATTTAGTGATATAGATATGCAGTAGATTGATTGATTGATTGATTGATTGATTGATTGATTGATTGATTGATTTATACCCCACCTTTCTCCTTGAAAAGGGTCCAAGGTAGCTGACAACAAGGAAAGGCAATATCTAACGTTGAAAGTCTTTTTTTGTGTGAGTGACCAATACTCTGGAAAGTTCATTCATTTAACTGGCGGCAGTGTGAAGAAGCATCTCCACACCCAACCAGAATCTTTCATTATTTCACCGTTGCAGAGTTTTGAAATTTTATTTTGGTTATATTCCTCTAGCTGTGCAGCAGAAGCGCAAGGATTTGTAGAGCAGAGTAGCTTCAAGTTCTAGGCCACCCCTTTTTACTCATCAACTGGGACTTTAGCCTCAAAACGTACTATGGGACATTCGTGGAAGAAAGAATTAAAAGGTTTTACACTATTACAGATCAACAGCAAGCTGGCAAAGATGATCGACTGCTTTCAGGAACAGACTCAAGAGAGGGAAAAAAGCACGGAGCAGAGAGAGGTGGGTCTCTCTTTGAATTGACAGGCAGGGAAGGAACAGCTAATTAGTGCTGGATAGATGGACAGTCACCCCAGCCTAGAAAGGTCCCTCCCTCTGCCAAGCCTATTAAAGGCAGCATGCGAAGTTGCAAAGCCTCCAACATTCATTTCAGCAGATGCTCTGGGATTTCGGTATGATGAAGGAGAGCAAAACTTGTCTTCTTTATTTACCCCAGTGACTGGGAGCATTCTATGAGTTTTAGTGTACGTTTCATTCCCTTCTGCTTCGAACAGGATCTTGTCCAGTATCACAGAGGGAGGTATGGATAAAGAGAAGGGAGGGAGCCCCCCTCTCGATCCATGTTACATTTGAAAAGGAAGCCATCCCAGTAATCATGGCAACCTTGGCAGCCAGATTGCTTCGCTCACACTTATCTCTGGATAAGTGCAAAATTCTACACCTGGGCGGAGGCAGGCTGGTGGGGGGGGGGAGAGAGAACGGGATGAAAATGCACAATTAAAAGATATGGGATATTTTGCATAGTAATATTTGCAAATGAGAAGGATCTTGGAATTGTCGTAGATCACAAGCTGAATATAAGCCCACAGTGTGATGTAGCTGCAAAAAGGGCAAATGTTATTTTAGGTTTGCATTGACAGAAGTATAGTTTCCAAATTCCAGGGAGTACTAGTTCCCCTCTCTTTGTCACTGGTTAGGCCTCATCTTAAGTCCAGTGTCATGTTCCAGAGACTGAACTTTAAGAAGGATGCAGACAATTGGTGATTAGGGGACTGGTAATCAAGCCTTATGAGGAAAGGCTGAAAGAACTGGGTGTTTTTAGCTTTGAGGGAAAAAAAGACTGAAGAAAGATAGGATATCACTTTTCAAATTCTTGAAAGGCTGTCGTCCAGAGGAAGGGCAGGATCTGTTCTCGATCAACCCAGAGTGCAGGACACGCAACCATGGGCTCAAGCTGCAGGAAGCCAGATTTCGGCTGAATCCCAGGGAAAGGCTCAAGCTACAGGAAGCCAAATTTCGGCTGAATCCCAGGGGGAAAAAATTATTAACCTTGACAATCATCTGTCCGATCTGCTTTGATCTGGATCTGTGAACGCAGCAGGTGGTTAGACAGGATGATATCATAGGCCTCTTCCAGCTCTGTCTGATCTGCTTTGATCTGGATTTCTGAACGCAGCAGGTGGTTAGACACGATGATATTATAGGCCTCTTCCAAATCAATTGTTCTATGAGTTTATGAAACACTCTCTTATTCCTCCTAGTGGCCAATTCTCATGTTGCATCTTGAAAATATTTATAAAAAGGTAAAAGCCAAAGAATTCTTCCCTTGCCACTTAAGAGTGACATAAAGTGGTATGAAACCTGTACCAAAAATCCTGCCAAAAATGTTTCTAGATTGCCTTTAAGTGCTATTTCAAAGGAACTTTTGAATGTAAGTGTTACTTCTTATACCAAGTAACTTAGCTGCTACTAGTTACATATAAAAGTCACCTTGTGACGGCTAGTTCTGTTACTCCTTAACCTAGTAACTAGGTACAGATAAGTACATTAATTGTAACTAGTTATCTCTAGAAAGTGGGTATATGTTTTGTTTCCAAAGACATTTCCACAGCTTGAGAAAGTTTCTTGAGTGTGGGATGTGGTTTTTCGACTACAGGTCCAAGGATCCCCAAGCCGGCATGGTCAAATATTGCCGTGCTGGTTGCAGGGGGATATTGGAACCTGTAATGCAAAAAAAGTAACTTCTACAAGCTTTGGTCAAGGGGGGGGGGTTTGCAGGCAACAGAAAAGGTAAGGAAGAGGAAAGTCATCAGGAAGGAAAGTAGAGGCTCAACATGGAGTGGCCAGGTCGATGCGGTTGAAGTAGCACCATATGAGCTGCTCTCCTCAAAGCAATTAAGCAGGCAAACACGTGGAATTACATCGATTGACCCTTGACCTTTGTCACCTCTTGTCAGAACACTCTGGTCCTTTCTGAATTGCTATCCATTATTCCTTAATCCAGTCGACGCAGAACGTGATGCACTACAACTCCCATCATCCACAGGCAGGATGGCTGTTCAGTGAAACATATTCCAGGAATGATCTCAAAGGAGTGTTGCACTTCATTTCCTGGAAAAGGATGCCACGAAGAGTTCGCTTTTTTCCCCCCAAAGGAAAATTACTTTGGTTTCCGTGGTAACCCCCAATGACTCCAGGGCCCATGCCCCCTCTGAGGGGGCCTGTAACTGACACAAGTGGCCAGGGAGAGAGGTCACAGCCCCTAGGCGGAAGAAGTCATCATCCTCAGTGTGTCTGTCACACCGTTGCTATAGCTTCCCTCAAAGGATGATGGGAATTGTAGTTCAGAATACTCTTCCAGTGGGCTCCCCAAGCTTCTTTTTCAGGACTACAGTGCCCAAGCTGCACAAAGCTCGTGCATTAAGGGCAAATGGGTTGCCATGTGACCCCACATAGCCTCTGGTTACCCCAAATCGTCCCACTTCTGCCTGCTTTCTTACCCAAGCTGGAGAGCCTGTCTGTATTTGTATGTGTGAATAGCCAGTCTTAGAAGAGGAAACGGGACTCACACAACCCTAATCCAGCTCACGCCCATGTCCACCCAAAGACGGGCGGCTTGTTTATTCTTTATTTAGGTGAACGTTTTCCTTTCTGCCTTTCTTCTGAGGAGCACAAGGTGCCGTCCATGGCGCTCGTCCCTACGAGGTAAGCCAGAGAGGGAGAATCACGGGCTCTGGATCAGTCACTGAATGGCACCGCTTGGCAGTGACCAGAACGTGGAATCTCACTAGTCCTCATGGAGCACTCTAACCACTGCACCCTGCCACCTCACTGGCTGTCCTCCCCCCCTTAGTCTCTTGCATTCCGTGTTGTTTACCCCTCCTAGTCAGGCAAAGAGGCTTTAGGGAGGAACCCTCCCGTCCTTTGGGGTGAATTTGGGCGGAGATTTTGAGGGGGCAGAGAGAGATGGGAAAGGTTCATTTTAAGCAATTGACTGGGGACTAAGGGAAAGGGAGAGGGAGGGAAGAAAACAGGCTGCTTCGTAGGACAATCTGTGGGACAAAATTTAGGCCAGTACTTCAGGGGACCACGACTCCCAGAATTCCCCAGGCCAGCTGGTTGCGGAATTCCGGGAGTGGGCTGCAGTTCCCTTTGTGTCCACCAGGATTCTTTCCACTCCCAGGAAGCAGGGATCTGGGATCCCATGTGCCTGTGAATGGAGGACACCGAGAGGTCATCTCTCGGCCATTTACTCAGAGTGGCATTAAAAAAAGTATACTGCACTTAATTGTTCTTAGCATCATTGTCTTTTAATGATGTAAGATACCTCATTACTTGTTGTCCTCAGCTTTAAATATTATCTTTTAATGATGTTAGCATTGTTGTACACACGGTTTGCAACTTCAACTGTTGTCTTTCAGTGTTGTATGCTGCCTCGGGTCTTTTTTAAAGGGAAAGGCAGGCTGAAAATATTTTGAACAAACAAGCAAACAAATTTACTCCCAGCGGTTGCGAAGTGTCGGTGCGACTACCAGCCAACAGTCCGTTAGCAAGGATTCTTCAAATCTTTATTTTCAGTCCTGGCACCTACCAGAGCTTAAAGCGGACTACAACGACCAGAATCCCCAGCCAGCGTGTCCAGCGGCTATAGGAATTCAGAGAGCTATATCCTCTCCCCAAAAGGGTAGGTGGGATTTCAAAAATCAAGAACATCCATGCAGCACATTATGCTGAGT